GAGAGAGAGAGAGAGAGAGAGAGAGAGAGAGAGAGAGAGAGAGAAAGGACTGGGGTGAGCAAAATGGGAAAATATTTTAAAAGAAACAGAAGGGGAGAAGAAGGAAGCTACAAAAAGAAAAGAAGAAAGGGAGAAAAAGGGAAAAGGAAAAAGAGACATTTAAAGCTTTGGTTTCAGTTTTCCTTTTCAGTTTATTTTATGCCAATCCCCTTTAGCTTTTTACATTCTAGCTAAACTGAACTGCTAACTGAACCCCTAATCTCCTCCTGCCCTTTACTGCCTCTGTACGTTTGCCCAGGCAGACCTACATGTCTAGAATATTCTTTTGCCTCAGCCCACCTTTTTGGAATTCTTCTATTCTTTTAAGATTCACTGTGATTATTGCGTCCTCTAAGAAGTCTTTCCTGAGCTCCCCCAGAGAATTGTGAGCTGTTTCCATTCAGATTTTACTGGAACATTTTTTCTGGATCCCTCTTTCTTATATCTTTTATTCTATCTTGTAGCATATGAATGTTATTATAAACTCCTTAAGGACAGAGACTGTTATTTTTATCTATGTATCCCTCTTGGTGCCTACCACATAGAAATTACATAATATTTGTGTATTGACCTGAAAAAGGAGAGGGCAGATGGCACAAGGAGAAGAGAAAGGAAGAAGAAAGAAAGAAGGAAAAGTAGAGAAGTAGATGATAATGAAAAAGTAGAAGAGGAGAAAAGGAGGGAGATGGAGAAAAGACAGATAAAAAGAGAAAAAAAATGAAATAGAAATAGAAAAAGAAGAGACCAAAAAAGATGAAATGGAATGAAGAGAAAAAAATGGAGGAAAAGTAGGAGAGGGAAGAGAGAAGGAGGAGAGAAAGGACAAGGAAAAGGGAGAAGGAAGAGATGGAAAGAAGAAGAGGGAAGGGATGAGAGAGGAAGAGAAAGCGGAAAAGGAAGAGAGAGGAGAGGAGTATAAGGGAGAGGGAGAGAAGAGGAAGAGAAAAGGGCACGTCTGCTTTGGTACCTAACAGAACTGATATGTCTACTAGATGTTGATTCCTTATCTGAATCTTGTCCAAGCATCAGCTCAGGGTCCCATGTGCCTATGTTTGAAATTTGATGGGAGAAAGATTGGGCATAAGCATGGGAGAGAAATCTGGGTCTGGTCAGAGACCATGAAGCTGAATGAATGAAAAAAACATTTATCAAGCACTTACTGTGTGCCAAACTTGATGCAAAGCATTAGGGATACAAATTTAAAAGCAAAGATAGTGCTTGACTTTAAAGAGCATATATTCTAATGGCATAAACAACACACATAGAAGATTGATAGTCGAGGAATGGAAATTGCATGAGAAAGTTACTAGGATGGTAAGTGGGGCCATAGGGAAGTATATTGATACACTCCATCCAGGAACAATGTAGTTAATTTGATGGGGAAGACAGTTGGCAAGGAGGCTATGGAGGAAGCAGCCATAGAAAAGAGTGTGAAGAGAAGCATAGCTGGAATTTCTTGAAATAAAATTCCAGGAGAAGCAGTCAATAATCAGGAAAGATGAAGGGACCTGGGTGGAAATTCTTCCAGGGCATGGACTCTGGTGTAGATAGAGAATTGGGAAAAGGTGGCCTGAGAGGCTGAAGAGGTGAGGGCAGGGACAGGGTGGAGGGGGGTCTTCTGGGTATAAAGATACCAGTGGTTTCCATAATATGCCCACTTCTCCCTGGAGTCAAAGATGGTCAAAGAACTGTTGTTCAATTGTTTTAGTCTGACTCTTTGTGACCCCATTTGGGGTTTTCTTGGCAAAGATCTGGAGTGGTTTGCCTTTTTTTACTCCAGCAAATTTTACAGATAAGAAAACTGAAGTAAGCAAGGTTAAGTGATTTGCCCAGGGTCACATAGCTACTAAGTTTCTGAGGCTGGATTTGCACTCAGGTCTTCCTGACTCCAGGCCCAGTGCTCTATCTACTGTATCACCTAGCTGCTCGGGGTCAAGGAACTACACCAGTGTTATGGAGTATGTCTCAGGAAAATGGAAGGGATCATACTTTTCTATATTTCCCTATTGCTGAGCACTGAAATGAACCCATAGTCAGGCTTCAGGAAAGATACACTGAATGAATATGCTCTGTCAACTAGAGCTCTACCATGAGGCTTGGCCTCTTCTTAGGACTGGGCTGGTGCTGAGGAGGAAGTCTTTTCTAGGGCTCCCAGGTAGAAAGACTAACAGTGGTGTGATCCCCTGCCAATTCACAAGGGTCTTCAAATACGGTAGGTGCCGGGACCTCATACAGATGGATGGTCACTCTGTCACCCTGGGAGCACTGAGCAGTGTGGGAAATAGGCTAAAACTGCTGTAGCAGAGTATTAGAGGGAAGACTTTCTGACTATAAAGGGGTGTATCAGAAGAGGTAGGAAAGTTCCTTCCCTAGCTGGCAAGACTGGGAGGAACCTGTTCTGTGTAAGGATATTTGAGAAAAAGGCAAGTGGTTATTGGGTGGGGGGAAGGATAGGGAACTTTTAAACAGTAAAAGGGGGGCAGGGTAGGTAAAAGATGTGGCCCACAAGAGCAGTGGCGTGCCAAAGCAGAGACTGACCTTAGGAAGGACCCCTTAAGGTAGTAACCAGCCAAATTAGAGTCCTGGAGGCAGGGGTTGGGCAGGAATATAGCTGACATTTACATTGTATTTTAAGGTTTTCAAAGCATCTTAAGTGCATAATTTCATTTGATCCTTATAATAACCCTATGAAATAGGTACTATTATTCCTGATTTATAAATAATGATAATAGACATATAAAAATTTAATTTTTTCAATTACTAAGTATTAATTTTCTTTCCTTCTCAAATCCCACTGCTCCCAATTTAACAACAATTCAAATAAAACCCTCATAACAATCATGCCATTTCCCAGTTGGTAGTAAGTATTCTCTTAGTTTCCAATTCTTTGCCATCACAAAAATATAAGTATTTTTATACGTATGGCTCTTTTTCCCTTTCTTTGCTTTCTTTGAGGTATCAATCTATTAGAGATGTCACCATCTAGTAACTTTGAGGGCATAGTCCCTAATTGCTTTATAGAATATCTAGATCATAGCTCTACCACCATTTCAGTTAATGAGCTTGAATAACTGACATTTATTTAAGCATTTTAAAAAGTTAAAACCTTTTAAGAGTTGCAAAGTATTTACATACATAATCTCATATGGGCTTCATGAAAATGTTGTCAGGTAGGTACTA